TTGGAAAGCTTGTCGAGAACGGGAACGAAAAAACGTTGTTCCTGCAAGACTCTAGTAGACAGCTTCAAATGCACTATTATGATAGTAGATCTGTTCATAGTATATGTTTGTATATGGAGAAAAGTTTTCTATGTAGAACTGTTAGGTTAGAATTTGAATGATAATATTATTGAAAATTGAGATTTATTCACTGATTTTGACTGTGTCTGTATATGATATTGTTGTTAATCAACGAAAGACAAAAAACAGAGGAATCTCTATTTTTTGAGTCAAATAGATTCAGAATAGAAGACAATATAATTATATGAACATTGAATAAACGAAGAAGATCATAAGGTAAGATTAATGAGAATTAGACGAAAAGAAAGATTTTCTATTCGAATGTTTGATGATGATAGTAAATGGTGTTTCAATAAAATTTGATGATATCAATCTTTTCTTTGTATACCGTTTGTTGAAGATCTTGATCTATGTTTAAATGAAGCAGATCTGATCATTCGATTTTGTTTTTCTCTTAAAACAACTATTTATTTTATCTATGTTGTTGGTGTCAATAGAAAAGTTCTTCGTTTGTCTAATATTCAAAACTATTAATAAACGTCAATATCATATTATCAATTAGATGATTCAATTTATTGTACTAATCAATGTCAAATAGAAAAAGCATTAACTACAGAAGAATAAAGAAAGTCATTTTCAATAAAGTCGCTAGTGAAAAACATGAATGCTGCGATGTTTCGTTACTCGAAATTTTGTTTGATATTTAATGATAGTATAAATTAGAGTTCTGACAATATCAACAAATATAAAAATATTCGAAAAAAAAACGTAATATCTAGATAATATAAATTTTATCGTTAGAGAATAAACTACAATTGTTTGACTAGTGAATATTTTTTGTCGATAAAAGACAATTTCAACCTATAGTTTTTTGAACAAATCTATAAACATTATAAAGCATATTCAATATCATTTAGGAAATATAAATGAATGACAAGATTTTTTAAAATTTTTGCGTTTAAATTTTCAAGTTCTTTAAGTTAATTAACAAATAATTTCTCTAGCAATAAACATTAAATAAATATTAATAAAAACACAATTAATAAAAGAGTTATATTCTTGTAATTCAAATTTTAATATGTGAACTTTTTTCTCGATTACTTTTGATTCTTCATCATATTTGTGTATTAGTTCATGATGATTATGAATAGTTTCATGTGTTTATCTTTAATTTATCATTGATCTTAATGAGAAAAAATAGTTCATTTTTTTTTAAACAAGAGTAACACAGTTGTAGTAAAGTTGAAGATTTTGTCTTTTTTGGTAGTAGTATTTCATGGTATAGATATCTATACGACAATTAACACCGTTAGTTAAAAGGTGAATGACTTTCTGTTTTTGACGAAGAAAAATTTGACCAGTTTATCTTGTAGAACCGAATCATCTCAGCGATACTTGAAAGTAAGAGAGAGAGAGGAAACAGTAAATTCAACTTTGGTTCAAACTATAAAATGTCAAAAAAAATCTTAGAAAAATAAAAAGTAAAATTGTGAAAGAAAGACTGGGCATGAGTGATGATGGGAGGGTGAATCTAATCTAAGGTGTCGATGTAGGTGAGAATGTATGTCTTCTTTTCACCCTCATACTCACAACCACATCTCAAACCCAAAATGATTTCGATTTCTATTGAGATTTGACTAACTTACCGAACTTTCAATGTGTCAATTTTCAAGATACTTCTGCAAGATTTGAGATTTTCGGAAAATTCGAATCTGCGAATTTTGATCTGAAACTTTATGGATTTATAATTAGATCTTAACTATACTAGGGTCTATAAGAGAAATTCAAAAGTTTCGAACAAAGTGTCTTCGAAATATAAGACTTTTAAAATGTAGAACCTTTTTCATAGATAATATATAGAGCATGAATGGTTTTTATAGAAACTGGTTATATAGTTAAGATCTAATTATAAATGCGTGAAGTTTCAGATCAAAACCCGTCGATTCGAATTTTCCAAAAATCTCACATTTTACAGAGGTCTCTTGAAAATCGACTTTTGACTAAGTTAGATTACTTAGGCAAATCCCAATAGAAATAGAAATTCTTGTAGTTTTTATTAGCACATAATGCAGTACTTATAGGTAAAAAAATCACAGAAATTGAAAGAGAATATCTGAAAAGTTTCCTTCGTTAGTTCTTCCTTGTTGAAATTAAAAGATGTGTTTTTTTACAGAAAAGTGTGTTATTCTTTAAAATGTAATATTTTAGCACATAGATTTTAATTGGTGAATGTGAAACTCGTATGTATCCTTTAAAAGTTATATGATTTTCATAAAAGAAGATAGATGTTTTAAAAGGTTTCATTGTAATGAATTAAAACGTTTTTACATAAGAAAAAAAACAAAGCATATCTTTGAAAAATTTCGTCAGGATAGCTGAAATTAGTGTAGAGGACTGAACTCTAACCTCAGATCATGGCCTGATCACTGTTTACATAAATATAAGTTTCTAGAAAAAATGATAATCATTAAAAACAAATAAAAATGAACTTGAAAAGAAAGAAGAAATTTTGTTTTTTTCTTTCTTTAATAACAAGATTTAATATACATATATAATCGTGAATTTATGATCAATAGAATTAATATAAATTAAGATTGTAATAAAAATATATTTTGTTTAAAAAATGAATTAAAATTAAATTTATTTACATAATTTACCAATTGACGAATTTTTTTGTATGTTCAATTATTAATGATTTTTTTGATCATGGGTATATAAGGAAGAATAGTATAAATGACTTTAGTCATTGTCTAAGAAAAATAATTTATTCTTTTTCTTTTTGTTACATTATAAAATATAAATTTAACATACTAATCGATCAATTCTTATCATATAATTAAGTAAAATTTGTTTTGAATAACCACATTTTATTGATTTCGAATACAAATGTATGTTAACTGTTATTTAAATCATTCAAATATATATCGAAATAAAAAATCTATAAGAAAAAATCAAAATCTATTTTGAATATTTTATTATCCATTGATATTTGAGAACAATGTTTAATTGTTCTATAAAACGAAACGATTTTTTTTTTGTTTAAATCAATTTATTGACAACTTACTGAATAATTCTATAATAATCTAATTGTTTTTTTCTATCAAATCATATTTATTTATTTATTTTAATTAAATAAAAATAAAACAAACTTTTAATTCTTTTTGTCATTTTGAACATTTATTCGTTAACAATGAATGTTCGATGTTCACCATCAGATGTTCTTTTTTTTTTATAATAAAGAAAAAGAAAAACAAATAATTTGATGAATAAAATCTTTATTTTTATTTTAAACTTTCGAATAAGATTCTTAAGTTGCTGTTTGTTCTATTTTGTTACTCATTTCTTTTGACATTATCTTTTATTCTATTTCTATTTCTTGTTTTTTTAAAATCGTTGTTTATATTCTTCAAATCATCTTGTCTAATTGAATTTCTAAATTAAGAAAGAAAAAAAGAAAGAAGAACATCGTTATGTTAACATCATTAGAATTTATCTGTTCATTATTAGTAATTGATTTTTTCTGATGCTTTACATAATTTATTTGTACTTTCTTGTATTTGTTTAAGAGTTAATTCGATTTCTTGAAGTTCTTCATAACGTTCTTTTATTTATTGATCTTTTTCATTAAAATTTTAATTAAACTTAAATTTTTTATTTTAACATTCATCTATTCAACGAGTGTTTTTTTTTGTTTATTTACATTTATTAAAAATGCTCTTGCATTTTTTAAATATTTTGATTCATTTCGATAAGAATCATGTTCAGTGGGTGTGCATGCGAATCAAGCGCATAATCACACGCACATCCTAAAAAAGAGAACTCATAAAACAATACATACGCAGATACGGTGCGAAGAGAACTTAAATTTCGATAATGAGATTTCAACTAGTAGAGCAAAGATAACAGATTTCATCCATACTCGATCGACTGGAGACTAGATCACCACTTTTAATTATCTTGAGTAAAGAGATGGAGGTCAAATCTTTAAATTCACCGCTTTACGAAATTTACTGAAGATAAACGAAAATTCAAAATCATTGGATCATCTCGAGACATTGATCTCTCTAGCGAATTTCGAATGAGTTTCAAGTAACTGTGTACGTGAAGGACAACATCAATGCTGTGCTTCGCATCGCATTAATTAATCAAAAAAAAAGATGAGACGACATACCGATATTTTGAATATGCTTATTGAACTGTAGAGCAACCTGTTGAATGCGAAATAGCAAAAACTCCCAATGATCGTTATTAATGGATTGATCAATGAGCAGAGTAGCACAAGTTTCCCTATCGTACCCGAGTACTCAGTCATGTTGAATTCCTCCGTTTCGTACCGTCGAAATCTTGATTACGCCACTAGAACGTCACCTTACTGCAAAAACAAAGCAAACTATCAAAACTATTTTACATTTAAGTTTTCTTGAAATTTACATTCTTTCTGTCTACTGAAAAAAGTCTTTTAAATTGTAAGGACTAAATATTTTATCTATACGTTAAAGAGCTGACTGAAAAGATTTCATCTTTTAAATTCAAATATTCATTATAGAACAATACTTAATTAAAAACAACTATAATCTGATATTTCTATGATTGCTGTGTAAATAGTCGAACCATTTGAATTCTAATGCAGTAAATTATTATTTTAATATTAAAACTAGAAAATGATATTGAAAATAAAATATTGAAATCAAGTAATCATATTTCAATTTCAATTCGAATATATTTCAACATACACAAATGAAATTCGATATAAATTTTTTATCATTCACATGAATTCTTCGTTAATAGTAGAAAAAGAAATGATGTATCATAGTTGATCTAGGATTATATCTTCGTTTTAATAATAAAATAACAAAAGAAAAAAAAAGATGCAACTAAATATATATGATAATAAGCACAACAAATATCTGACTTAATGCATAAAATAATATAGAAGAAGATTAAAAACTAACTAATACAAGTGATATAAGAGCATAACGAATAAAGACCAAACCATTTTCAATAAAATATAATGTACGCTGACATTTGTAATCAGATTTTTTTGTAAAAAATACACGATTCCAACCGTTAAACTAAAACAAAAAATAAGAAATTTTAAGCATAACTCAACCATAAATAAAAAGATTAAACAATTTAAAATAGTCATTCGATTATTTCAATTTAAAAAAGCAAAACTTACAGCATAAAATCCACAGAGTATAAGAGAAGCCAACATAGCACTAAGGTATTGATGTTTTCGAATATTGAATGCAGTTAATAATATATTTAACAATATAGAACTTAATAAAGCTCCTAAATTTGACATAATATACGGTATACTACTGCATTCGTCATGTGCTTTGCATACATCCTCTTCATTCCATCGCATTGCTTTGATCCATTGTTTTTGAAAACCTATTGGTGAATACCATGTAAAACCAAGAATCAAGTTAGTAATAGTAATTAGAACAATTTTTGCTAATGATGTAAATATAAATGATATTGATAGAAGTTCCAACATTGCTATGTGAAGAATAATCGATTAGTAGCAGTCGAGTTTAGAAATGTAAGTAAATGATCTTTGTTAAGATTAAGAAGTTTCTTTTCTTTATTGTAATACACTGGACTCTTTGAATATGCGCTGAGTATGTTTATTGAAATGTTTTTGATTAAAGAAAAATGACAATTAGCGAGAGAAAGTCGATAGTTTGAAAGAAATAATAAATTATTTCAAGGAATTTTTAATAATTTCAAAGAAATGAGTTCACTACAATCAATGTAAATAAAATACAAAAAATGTTTTATAATTTCAAAGAAAAGAGTTCACTACAATCACTGTAAATAGAACATTCGATGTAATCAAAATAAAATAAATATATAATATTTTTCAAAAACATTCTTATGAATCAACATGCCGGTTTCAAGAAGATTATTTAATAATTCTTTCTTCCAAAATGAATACTGAAAACACTTTCAGAGAGGGCCCATGAGAGCACTACCAACGTCGGCATACAAAACTTTTTTTCGGAGTATGTTGTATCATTTGAAAGTTCATGAAAAATTATTCTTAAATCCCAATTTTTAGCTCTTTCTGAAAATCCTATCACGAGATGTATGGTGATCTTTGAACCCACCCTCAGATGTTACGTTATAAGTTTGACAAATTTTGGAAAATTCGATTTAACACTTCTCAACAACATATTTTACTATTAAACACTCCACTTTTTTACTATCATTTAATGTATCTTGATTAGATCTATTAAACACATCATCATAGAACAACATTCTCAAGTATAAACCCCATCTAATATGCTCTTTCTTTTACTAAAAGAATAGTCAAAAATGATAATTTTTTAAAATTTTTTTTAATGTTTTTGATTTAAAAGTATATCAGGATAATGCGCTTTCAAAAATCTTTTACTTGTAGAAGATAACCCATGAAAAACTACATCTTTCTATATATGACTCAATAGGATTGTACTTAGTAGGCTGAATTCATTTTTTAACACAAGTAGTGGTCCCTATGCATTTTTTGCATATCATCAAAAAAATGATATCTTTTTTTCACGAGTCAAAACAGATCTGCTTGTAGATTTAATAGTGCTCATTGCGAATATCGAAATAGGAACGCTCAAAACTCTTTTATTATTGAAATAACTGTAACCACTCTGTGGACTCATTTTTTGTTGTTGAAGTCCCATACAATAGCTACTCTTTAAAATTTAGTTCAAAATATTTACCATAGCTCGAAATTTTGAGTTTTTCACGAATCTGAACTTTTTACACAAAAAAATGATATCTTTGGAGAACAAATGGCGATTCTGAGTCAGCAATTCATCCTTTTTGGAACCGAGTCATGCAGGAACGTCATATTGGAAGAATAGAGGTAACTTTCCAATCTTATCGACTGATGACATCAAGAATAATGAATAGAAAACTGTGCTATAGG